ACATGCCCTAAGCCACCCCAATAGCTTAATTGCTTTGACTTTTGTCTCTCTTATTATGGTTATTTGAGCTAGTGAAAGTCCATATCGCCCGTTATCCATCTTTTTCTCTTCTCTTAATTACACCATTATATCACAATTATTGGACGGAACGGAGGGGGTCTTCCAAGAGGATGATGAAGTGGCTAACAAGGAGAACAAAATGCCATAGGATCGACTAGTCACGTTCTCGTCTCGGGATAAAAACAAAAAAAGCCAGGGCGTCAGACGCGGATAAATGGGAAAGAGTCCTTTGCTAGGGACGAGGGAGGAATTAGTAGAAAGGATCGAGGGGAGCGTGTAAAGAGATTGATAAGGTTAACGGTAGACAAATAGTTGTAATAAACGATGTACCCAGGGGACTTAGACAGGACGAGATAAGGGCGGACGACCAATAAAAAGTGGATTTACCCGAGTTGCCCTGCGATACAGCCGAACCTTTACTAATTCCATACATATCTGACATTCGCACGGTTGCGTTTTACGGCCGTCATAAAAGCCCTCCATTGTAAAATGAATAAAGCCCTTAAGCAAAGGGCCGATCTGACAGAAAAAACATTATGAGACTTTTATAATCCTTCTAAAATTAAAAAAATTCTTACAAAAGTGAACTCCAGGGTAAGCAATAATAACGATGAACGTGAAAGCTTTGTATAGCTTTCCGAGAGCCGGAACATTACTTAAACGTTCTCTCGAATTAAGAGCTAGATTATAAAAGCGTTTTAATGATTAGGAGTTTAAAACTTACACTTGTTATCAATTGTTGAGGAAAGAATGTGTACTCTGATAGTACCTTCTTTACCCAAACTGTCCCTTTCCTTCTAAGTACTTTCTTTAGTTCTAGAATTAGCGATAGGCCTGTTTTGAAGGGGAGAGAAGGATTTTTGGTGTAGGGGCAAGTTTTGAAGAAAGTAAAGGTCCTTTCAATGGACTTGCCTTCGGTATTAGACATCTGTGTGAATCTCACGGCAAACCACTTCAGATGTTGCGAGGGAGATGAAATTAAGTACCCTCTTCACAAAACTTTTACCTCGCTTTTAGCAACTCGGTCTTCCCCTCTCGCCAGATTTATTAAAGTCAAATTAAAAACCCCGGTTGATTCCAAATTAGATCCCTGTTTGGTCTCTTAGATAAATCAAATGCGAGATAAATCAGTAAAGCCCGAGCGAAGGCAACTACGAGATACCGTTAAATCCGATAGGTTATACATGTAAACAATAGCCGAAGGCCAACATAAATTTGCCTGGGCATGGATTATTGAAGAAATATTTCAAAACGCCCTGAGCTTTCTATTTACACAGAGTCCACTTTAAGACAAAAGCGATCTTTTCAATACATTTTTTATTATTTTTATAGTCCAACCATCGTTCAGTTGATGCAGGTCATGCCAGGCCTGAGACTATTTCCGTTGATTTCGTCCTTGGGAACAACTCCAAAAACTGCAGTACATCCGACACCGCGGAGCCCCCTTTTCTCTGCGGTAAATCACACTACACGATATTTATATTCGCCGTTCTAAACAAATCTGTTTTATTCAATAGCTAAAATCGATTTGCGGACATCGCAAGAGAATGAAACCGAATTGAATAAGCTGTCAAATTTGTCCGAATCGAAGGCGATCTTTATTACGGCCGTGACGTCGTTGATATTCCAGGACGAAGATCGCCGAATTGGATTCAGGTTATAAGGAGGGCATTACATAAATTCCTGGGGTCTTTTGTTTTACGGCTCGCTATAACAACAGGGGCGAAATTTAATCCCGACGGTTTTATGTCTCCACTCGAGCGGTTCGCCTTTTATTTATTCCCACCACATACGCAATTTGCATTAAAGTATAGTAGTTAAGGGTACTATAATAAATGGAAGTTTATCTCCCTGTTTATAAATTTCGACATGATCTCGTAGAAGAAAGGAAAATTAAATTAAAAATTCGCCCATTTACTATATATAAAACAGAATAGTATTTTATTACACACATGAGGCAATTACGGCTCTTCCTGGTTGTTCAGTAATTTAAATTTGTTGATAAAAAATTGAACACCTCTATAAACGCAGTTTTAATTAAATTCTGTTAAATTTGTAATAGCTAATAAAACCAAACGCAATTATGCTTTGTTTAAAGGCCGGGTATATATATGATAGATAAGCAGTTAAATATTACATGGCTAAATTAATCATATTTTATATTCAGTCATAAAATTTAAAAAGAGCTGAAGTACTATTTATTTTTCAAATTTCATTTTTTTTCTTACTAACTGGATTGGCAACGTCATGGTCATATCAATCCCGTAGTTGTGGTGCTTTTAATTAAAAAAAAAAAAAAAAAAAAAAAAAAAAAAACTCCCTTATAAGCATGTAGGGTTTTGATCTCAGCGACCCTGGACTTTCCCAGTGGTGAATCAACGCCTTAAATGTTGCGACCCCGTTAAATATCCTTCAGTGACAGATTTAAATCGTATTATTATTTTTTTATTACATTAGCCAGACGTAATAAATGTCGAGATCTCTTCTTGATGCCTGCAGGGTGAAGAACCTGTCGTTTCAGATCATTTTGTTCACAATCTTCATTGGTGGGTCAGGGTCTGCAGGGAGAGATAAGTCAACAAGCCCACCAGATTAGGAAAGGACCAAACAGATCAAAACTATATTTGTTCATTATTATTATCAGTTGTGGATTTTATTATTATCATTTACTATTGTTTATTATTATTATATTTTAAAAAAATTAATAAGGTGAAATTGTCCAACAAAGTATTATAATGTGGGTGACCTTTCGTCCGCGATTCTCAGCGGGTTTGGACGGGGGGGACACACTTAACCCGATGCAACGCTAGCGACGATACCCGACGCCTTGTCTTGTTTTGGCACATCTATGCAACGTCTAGCGCACGCCACGTACAGTCACACAGCGTGTATCACAATAATCACTATCGCAACGGCAACGGCTCTTTTGTTCTTAAAACACTATTTTGAGCAAAACCTTGTAATAAATTGTTTGTTAAACTTAATTGTTTTAAATAAAGTTTTTCCTGTATTTTGATAAATTTTCTTCCTAACCATCATAATTGAATAATTTTTATTTAAAACTCATGAATTTTTGATAACGTTTAATTTGGTTTACATTAAAATAAGAATGTTGTAATTAATATAACGACAAAATTACGTATACATGGTTGGTAATAAACTTAAAAAAAATATGAGTGTCCTGTTCTGACGCTACTCGCGAAAACGGTGTAATTTTATGAGCAAAACCGGGTAATAAATTGTTAGTAAATTCATTATATCAAAAAATAATATTCCGGTGTTTTGATCAATTTTCTACCAAACCATTAAAATTAATATATTACAATTAATTAAGGTTTTTAGTTGAGATAAAAAAGTCAATGGCACGAGCGGGATTCGAACCCACGATCTTCGGCTTGATACGACGCTTGAACTATCTCGATCCACTCGGACACCAACTTCCCATCTCAAACGCACCTATTGAATTTTCCCTCCTTTGTGCCATTTTTCAAATGTCATGTAATCGGGTTGGATTCTCGACGACAAATGAAATGGCCACGGAGAGCTTTAGTGAAGTATACTTCATTTTTAATCATTAAATTCTCTAAGTAATTGAAGCAAGCTATAATTGAGCAGCGGCGTATCAAGCCGAAGATGGTGGGTTCGAATCCCGCTCATGCCATTGGCTTTTTTTATCTCAACTAAAAACCTTAATTAATTGTAATATATTAATTGGTCAAGTGGACCACGAAATTAGTGAATTAAAATTAATTTTTTTAAAATAAAAACTAATGAATTTTTGATCGGTTAATTTGGTTTATATAAAATAAGTATGTTGTAATTAATATAACGACAATAATACATGTAATTTCAACTAAAAATATAAGTGTCCGGTTCTTTTGTCTTTGATTGTACTCCATGCTACCCGAGGAAAATCTGGACAGTGGGGATCGCAGAGCTTAGAGTAGGGTAGCGTTGCATAACATCGGGCAGATGTGCATGGGGGTAATACATTCTTATGGGAAATTGGACTTTGCATTTGCGTCGGATAGCGTAGCATAGCGTTAGTATGTTCCCCGCCGTAAGCCCTTTTGTAAGGTAGGAATTACTTTTTTGCTTTTACTAGTTCTTCGAGTAAATGAACAATTGCATTTTTTATAGCATGCCATTGTAAATGGAAGCGTGATCATGCTGATGGTAGAAATGGTAAAATGTCGACTAGGACGATCACCAAATGCTTTTAATTTAAAACAGAAATAGCGACAACGGGCAGAAATGATCAAACTCAATCAATCTGTAAAAAACTAATTTTTGTTTTGTTAAAATGTGAGATACGGATGATGGACTTGTAATTTAGCTGTTTCTAAGTATTTTAGCCCGCCTTTTCTTGCCATTTTCAATGGAGGGTATAAACAAAGTAAGGGAAGGCAGCAAAATAAGAATTTACGAACTCGTAACTGGTATCAGTTAACAGGTCTATGACAGTGCTAGTATTGTTACAAACTATTCAGAAATCGTGAGATGCGGTCTGGTGTGATAGGTTTCAGAAAAACATTTTCTTTATCGTGCTAACGTTTCGATCTTTATTGAGATCACCCCAGTGGGGGCACTCTCAACACGACACGCAAGAATGGCACAATTACACAGAAGACAAACACTTTGAGCCCTGAAGACGATCTCAATAAAGATCGAAACGTTGGCACGATAAAGAAAATGTTTTTCTGAAACCTATCACACCAGACCGCATCTCACGATTTCTGAATAATTATCGATTAACGGTCACTAATCACCACACATTGTTACAAACATTTTCGCCCCTTTAACACGTTCATGACACACTAACCACTGAAGATAGCGAGGATAGCTTGTTGAGTTATTGTTTCAGTTATCATAGTGTTAACAGAATATATTGAAAAATTGTTCATCCTTTTATTGATGTTTTGTGTTTTATTTTGTTTCAGATGGAAGACGAAGGGCACCATGGAAATGACGAGACCCGCAGTTTTATTCTCTCCACTCTGGCAGGTCTCCAAATGTCAAAAGTGATCTGCATTCTGTGCAGGGCCCCGATGCTAGTCTTTGACCGATATCCACTAGTAGACGGCACGTTCTTCCTCAGCCCGAGGCAGTACACGAAGAGCTGCGTTGAGGTATTATTTTAGAAGCATGATGATTTATCGATAAAATGGGCAACTTCCATCCTTCTAAACCGCCAATTCTCCTTGGAACGGCTTAAAAGACAACTGTCAGAGTTCAGCAAATATTAAATATTTACTGGAGTATGCAAACTGGATAAATTGGGTGACTCGTGTATGGAGAAAAAGAAGACTAATTGTGAATGTACATACAAAGCTCACAACAATTTGCTAAACATGGTAAAACATCACAAAACGATTTTTTTGCTGCTCGAAAAAATTAAATTAATATACGGCCCTAATTATAATTCTATTCCCCTTTTCTCTTCCAACAGTGAATGCTACTCAAAAGGACCCTCGTAATAATAAATGCTTGTGCCTATCAACTTTTAATTTTGGTCCTGCAAATTGTTTCTTCGATCTCTTCGCTTTCTGATAATATTTCATGAAATAGAATGAAATTTCTCTAAATAATTACGGTATAACAACCTTTATTAATATTATATATTTGATTGTTTTTTTTTCACCTCCCAAACATCTTACAAACTACGATAATCATCACAAATCAGTATATTTGGAAGCAATTTTGAACAACAAACATTCTTCTAATTATAGATCAATTAGCAGTTTTTCTTCAGGTTAATAATATATTTCATTTGTATAACTTCATTTACGTACTAGTTTTTGGCTGTTTGTTATTTACCCAGGGATGCCAGGTCGCTAGATAGTTGTGAAATTTCTTTTTATTGCATAACGTTTCATCTTCATTGTCCCACACCTTTGAATTTTTATGTTTCTCTCTCTCTCTCTCTATCTCTATCTCTCCTCTCTCTCCCTCTCCCTCTCCCTCTCCCCCTCCCCCTTTCACTCTCCCTCTCCCTCCCTCCCTCTCTCTCTCTCCCTCTCTCTTTCTCTCTTTCTCTCTTTCTCTCTCTCTTCTTTCTCTCACTCTCGCTCTCTCTCTCTCTCACTCTTTCTTTCTCTTCTCTTTTTCTATTCAGGGATGACAGGCCATTGCGAAACTTCTCTTTATCGTATAACGTTTCCTCTCTCTTTTCTCATTAAGTTGAAACAGGTCGTTCACAACCCAAATTTGCGAAATTTTTACATAAAACTGTATTCATTTACTCATTTTTTTGGTTTAAGTGAATAACAATAATAGTATTAACAGTGGGGGAAAATAACATCATAAATACATAGACATTCCATTCAGTTAATTTAATTTTTCTTCCATTTTTACTGTTTTTACATAATTTTATAATAATATCATAAAGTAATAATAATGATGATATCATTTCGATGTTAGTGTTTTATATTTATATAGGCATCATTTTATGATTTTATTAATTACTATTTTAAACAACTGTCTGTCCTATTTTAAAGGATCATGTGTCTTATAAACAATAGAAAATATGTATATTTCTAGGATAGGCATTAATTGACTTGATCTCAAATAAATACCTGCAATGCAGATACTTGTTTTATTGGCCCATATGTTGGTTGTTTAAGTAATTTTTCATTGACCGGAACAGATCGTAATCAGAAAGTGCAATTTCCGGTTAATACGGAGGGTGGGACACCAATTTCAAGTGCAACCTTTTTTGCAGTCTCGCCGACGAGCTTGATACCATATTTATATCGTAAAGTTTTTTTATATATGCTTCCATTTTATATCTAGTTGTGGGATAATTGTTATTGTAGTTGGTGTAAGTGATACTTTCATTCATAGACGTGCGCAAATAGCCTAATTTTATTTTAACTATAACTTACTATATAAAAAAACTGTCATTACGTAAAATATAGATATAAAATAGAATATTGCCATTTATAAATTAGCAATCTATCTACAAACGTTGTAAATAAGCACCATTTTTTTAAATACTGTTCGCAGTGGCGGATCCAAGGGGGTGTAATTCCCCCCACTGGAGCCAAATGGAGATGTTATGTGTTTAATGTAATAAGTCTTAGTTTAGCCTTAATTAAGCGAAGAGGCTTATATTTCAGAATTATAAAAACTTGATCTGTAACCTCTGACAAACCTTCCCTAAATTAAATCAGTCTCCTTTTAACTGGTCACCCTTTGGCTTTGTTTTCCGCCGGTTCGATACTTCGATCACTCGATTTGATATCAAGAAACCTGTCAGTTGATGTTGAATTTTAGGTAGATTTCTTTCAAAAATCTAGCGTTTTCTAGCGGCCTCATTTTTGATCCCATTGCCATGAAATTTTTGCGTTTTTTTGCCGCACAACACCCAGCTCGGTTTGCTTAATTTCACTCGCTCCTAACTACGCCCCTCATAATTGTATTTTCTCATTTTTGGTACCGATTTTAACATGCATTCTTCCTGTACATTTGTTCAGTTTGGCTCAAATCCAAGCAGTATAAATATAAAATAAATTTAATAAATCCTTTTAATTTTGCTCGTAGATAGAGAGACCTCGACGGAGACAAACTATTTCATCTAAATTTCACCTAATCAACTTTACTTCAAAAGAACCAGTCTATTAACATAAAAAAACCATAACTACGATCGAAGAATCTAGTCAAAAAGCACATAATGGTCCAAATGTTCTGTGAAATGGTTATAAGTCTCCTTTCTCAAATATGTAACATATAATTCACCAGCAGTGCAGTTTTTTTAACATAAAAAAACCATAACTACGATCGAAGAATCTAGTCAAAAAGCACATAATGGTCCAAATGTTCTGTGAAATGGTTATAAGTCTCCTTTCTCAAATATGTAACATATAATTCACCAGCAGTGCCCCGATGATGCGACTATATGTCCCGAAAGCTCGGCGAATTGTTTGCATAAGGTTGTAACATCATTCAAGACCATAAACCTGATCCTCTTCAATATTGAAAAAACAGGTCGATCCCATCCTTAATATTCATTAATTAAATAGCTTAAATAAAATTTCAAATTAAGTAGTTAACTAGTAAACCATTATTTTATTTTCATTATTTTCAGTGGTTTAGGAAAAAATGGCTTGCATCTAATTTAATTTAACGCCAACGGTTAATAAGAAACAAAAACAGTTGATTAATTTTTTATCTTATTGCAATATGTTTATGGTGTTACATTTTGTATAAAATAAATAATAATATATATCCATGGTTTTCAAATTATTCTATAATTTTTAAAATAGCAAATTTTTAGCACCGCTGGATTGATTCCGCAAAAGAAGGAAATCTACCTTACTGCCGTGGGGTTTTTTTGTTCGTTTATGTTCTGTGCTAAAAAATTACATTGCAGACCATGATTTTTTTCGTTTGTATTTTTCTGGTGCTTTTCTGATTTCTGCATCTGATCTTCTTATTCGATTTCTCGATGCGATAACCTCTAAGTTGGTAATTAATTTTTTATATTCGTTAATGTTGGTGACTAAAACCAATTAAATTGCAGACTATGACGGAAAAACTTTTTGGAAATATACCAAAAATATGTTTCTTTTTGATATTAAAGTATTGAAACTTTTAAATCAAGATATTTTTTTTTTCAGTTTTTCCCTTTGAAGGAAGAGAAAGTATTGCGTTGGGCTGAAAAATGATGCGTAGAGTTTTCTCTCGATTGGCACGTTTTTAAGTCTTCTGGCCTTTAAAAAAGACGCAATTTTTACCTCCCCCCCTACGATGACCAACCTGGATCCTCCCTTGACTGTTCTTTTTCGTATTTATATAGAAATATGTTGTAGTTGCTATGTCATAGTTATTGAATATGAGTATATTTAAAAACATTAAATTGTACGTCTTTTTTTTCACGGTCGTTATGTGTGTATTGAATTTTTTGAAGGCATATGTAGCTGTCATGTATAGGCCTTCGGTTTTTTAACGTTGCTAACGACAGCATTTCCCCTTATATCTCAAATAAGGTTGAGTTTCAATAAGAGCAGATGGCCTCGAGCACCTCATTTCTTCCGTACCAGTCCTTATTTAAAAATCCAACCCCTGTCGTACGAGCACAACAGAACTTCCTCGAACTCTTTTGTCTCGTGAAGCGAGCCAGTAACGAGGAAGGCTTGTTATTCGAGATGTGAATCGTGAGGTTTCGCCACCCTCGCATCCTCCTCAGATCATTTCCCCCCGAGTATCCGCCCCTTAATGACGATTTGGCGCATGCTGATTTATTCTACTCCTATTGCTCTTTACGGAATCGTTATTTCCTAACGAAACCTGAACATGCTGAGGATTAACTTGCTTCCGAATACTAAACCGACTAAAATCACTTTATACCGTGTAAATCATAACTTTTAATTTCTTGGGTATATTTGGACAGGGGTTTAGGTCATTTTCTCCGGAGAATTAACCTCTTGTTCGAGTTTTCGATCAGTATGCTATATCAACCGACATCCTAACACACCCAAGAAATTGTTTCATCGAAGGTCCATGATAATTTTCACAACCACAATTTAAATGAGTATTCGATTATTTTCTAAAACACGAAAAAATGTAGGTCAAATCCTTCCATTAAATAAAAGATTATAAACATGGAAAACCGATAAATTACCACGTTATTTATACTAGAAATCCATTCGATGCTTGTTTATTATACTCTAGGTATTATTAAAGGACGTAATTTTTTTAAATTAATTTCCAATTAACTTCAAATTTTTGCGTATTTTTGGTATAAATGAATCCTCAAATTAAAATAATCCAATCACAGAAACAACTAAATAATTTTTGCGACAGAACAACTATGGCGTTCGGATTGATGCTCAGATCTGACACTTTCACAGCCCGTACGATTGACTAATGACAAAAAATTTTCAATTTGACCTAAGAGGATACATCATATATATATATTGTATCAACACAAAGGTGCAGCAAAAAAATCTTTACAAATTTTACAAAATTTGGATTTTACAAAAAAGTACTTTATTAAGAACTAAGTTGTATAAAAATATGCATTTGAAATAAATAGTTAAACCGCAGAGGACTTCCCTCATGATCGGTATTTATATTAGACAGCATATGATAACCCTGATGAAGGCCAATCATGATGATTATTGTAATACCAGTACCATCATTGAACACATTCCAAATAGTAAAAAAAAACTTTGTTGGTGGATAGTTCCGCACAAAAGAGCATTATTGGTCAGTTAATCGATTATAAGTAAAAAAATGAGTTTTATGTTTTCACTCTTATGGAAAGTACGATATTTTTCTAAAGGTGCATTTTTATCAGAATTTGGTTAAATTAATTGAGCGTTTTTATTATGCACCAATATGTATGATATTCCAAACGGTCGGATTTATAAAATTCAGGCAGGAACATAAATAAAAATAAAGGTAATGTGAAAAACAAATAAAAAACTTAAATAGCATTACTATTTTCTTAATAAGTATTAATTACATTCAAAGTTGCAAATTAATCACCAAGCATTTATCATAAAATACATGAATTCTAATTGTTTGGTTAACAGGACCAAAAGATCTTTTTTCCCCCGAGGTTCGCAACAGGGCCGCAGGGTTCGAACTCGGGACCTTTACCTTAAGAGCGCCGTGTCAACGCCTAAACCGTTGCGGCCACCGACGCCCCCCAAAGATACGTATTAAGTGCCGAAAGAAGTCCAATTTTCGTATTAGGTTAGATCGATCTTACTCGATAAAACCGTTAAGTTTTATATTGTTTAACTATATTTTAGGTACAGCCCAACGTAATTGTCTCCTTAAAATTACTGACAAACCAAATGCTACATAATAACTATACAGGGTCATATAGTATAATTTTTTATTGTGGTTTGCTTTTTATTTATTTGTGTATTTTTCATTTTGGATCATTTCTATTAAATAATTTGTTAACGCTGTTTAGTCATTAATTGGTCTTTATTAGGTCGTTTTATTTTCTGACAAAACACATGACTATAGCATAGCACAAAACGTCGCCCAAGATATGGATTGTATTCGAAAAACAACAACATGCACCTTATAAAAAGGAGTAAAAACTGGCATAATTCTCTCTGAATAATTGATATCAGCCGGTAATATTACAATTTTATACTCAAGTTAAACTTGAAAGCATTCGAGGAATAAGGCTAACAAACATGATTTCGTCATCTATCATAGTGCTAAAACTTTTGGTTCAAAAATAATGAATTTCCGAGTTGATGATGGAACGAGATATCACCTTACTGACTCCCTGATCTCACAAGATGTCTGTTCCATTGCTCTTAGATGTTCTTATTTGTTAACCTTGTTAATAATTAATAATGATGAAGGGATATAAAACCTGCCTTGCTTGTTATAAACTATTAAGCTGCCCGTTTTTAATGATCTTTTGGCGAATCTGAGCGTCTCCAGATCCGTCCATTTTATAAGAATCGTAGTCTCTTCAATTTGTTTGATCCATTTTACAACAATGTACGCATTACCACCGGATAATGAGACTCTCAATCCTTGTAAATCTCTCATCGAAAAGCATAAGGATTTCGTACCCACATTGTCATCCATCACCATCGCATGTGCTTCAAAATCATCAAATCCGGGAGAATTTTGTCTCGATCTTTTCTGCATACTTATTTCTCATCGTTTCTCATCGGTGCACATTCCAAATAGTAAAAAAAAAGTTAACTTTGTTGGTGGATAGTTCCGCACAAAAGAGCATTATTGGCCAGTTAATCGATAATAAATAAAAAAGTGAGTTTTATCATTTACACTCTTATCAGAAAGTACGACTTTTTCTAAAGGTGCATTTTTATCAGAATTTGATTAAATTAATTTAGCATTTTTATTATGACCAATACGTAAGATATCCCAAACGGTCAGATTTATAAAATTCAGGCGGGAACATAAATAAAAATAAAGGTAATATGAAAAACAAATAAAAAACTTAAATAGCGTTCCTCTTTTCTTAATAAGTATTAATTACATTCAAACTTGCAAATTAATAACCAAGCATTATCATAAAATATATGAATTTTACGATTTTTTCTTCTTTTTTTTCCTTTTTTTACGAGGGTTCGCAACAGCAAATGTTATATCAACCCTCGGGGTGCCGGAGTTTTTTAAAAAAAAAAAGCCCATTTGTAAGTATGTCGGATTCGAATGCAGAGCCGCTAGATTCGAACCCGGGACCTTTACCTTATTGACCTTATGAGACCCCAAAACTTCTTTTCTTTATACTCATTACAACCGTCACTTTGGTTTATTTCAACAACTAACATATCAACAAAAATAACAAACAAATCGAGAACAAAACAAAACCCACTAACCTCCTCCTAGGAAGCGAGCGGGGCCCCCAATTTTGTAGGAAAATTGGATATAGTTAGTGGCTATGGAAACTGTACTCGGAATGAGATTGTAAATTTATAAATTGTAAATTCGGCGGTAGCCGAGTGGTTAGCATGAGAGACTCTCACGCCGCGGTCGTGGGTTCGATTCCCACCGTCGCCTCTGGCCCTTTTTTCACAATAACCCCCAANAAAAAAAAAAAAAAAAAAAAAAAAAAAAAAAAAAAAAAAAAAAAAAAAAAGCTTAACGAAGGGACCGTATGTTTTTGTTTCTTACAAATTTGCCACGCTACTGATTTTTCTTAAATACCAAATAATAATTTTTTTTTAAATAATTTTAAAAAGAATGCTAATTCAATAGGCGATTGTGAAATGTGTTTTAAGAGTGATTCCAGACATCTATGTTAATGTATTCTTGTTGAATAGTAAAGTTAAGTTTTAAATTTGTAAAAGAATAGTTTTTAAGAAAATTTCGTTTCAGGTGAAAGCGGAGGGACGTACTCAATTCCTTAGCTGCGTCTGTATGGGTTGTCTTGAAGCGTGGGCCCCCGGACGGAGGCTTAGGTGCAGATTCTGTTCTTCAGCCTGGGACGGTTCATCCTTGGTCCTCGGAACCATGTACTCCTACGATATTTTCGCCGCCATGCCCTGCTGCACGGAAAGACTCAAGGTGGGTAATCTCTTTATCCAGACGCGAAATAAACGACACCCTTTATACAATCACCGAAAAAGGGGCGCTTTGACCAATCTTCTTTAAAAGTCGTGGAAAAAAGTAGATTACACAATTAGTGAAAAATTAGAGGAAGATCAGAGGAAGATCGTGAAGGGGAAATAAGTAATAAAAACGGTCCCGTGCGTTTGAAGTCTTTCGGCAGACGTCATCATACGCGTCACCTAATCATTGACGGGGCCCCTTCCTAAAGTACACAAATTACATTTTATTGAAAACCCCGACAAAGGAAGAAATGATTAAATTGAATTTCTCGTCCTTTACCTGACCGTTCCGGACATCTCTGTGAGGTCTGTGAATGTTTCGCTTTGTAAAAGTCGCCTTTTAATTTCGTTAGAGAAACCTTCCTCTCCTTTTTTATTACTTTTGGGGTTCAATAAGACCTGCATCCCTTTGTCGCAGTCCTGGGATTTGGAAACTTTGAACTCGTTTTCTCTGTTACAGTGCAACAGTTGCGCCAAACCGTTGTTGATGCCCCACCAAAGACTCAACTTTTTCTCGGACTATTCCCACCGCCTGACATGTCCTCACTGCGGTGTCCAAGACTGGCACTTCGTCAAGCCCCTCGGCTACTGCTACAACCGCGAGTGGCCATAGCATGAGGCCGTGCCCGCTGAAGACCGGGCGAGAGCCGTGCAACGGCTCCTTCACGCCACCTGGGCCAGTGACATCCACAACACACTTCTGAGCCTGACGCTCGCTTGAAAAGGTACGTCAAACTGACGGCCCTCGTTCAACAAACTGCTAATTGATAATAATTTGATATCCTCGGGTCTGCGAGGGAAAAATTGCTCTGCTTCCAATGAAATGCAGTGCTCAATTTCATTTTGTATGTTATTTGAATTGTTGTGCGTTAAAGAACGGTGTTATTTGTATTAAATACACGTGTGTTTTTCAATGGTTTAAGGGTAGTTTTAAGAGAGTTTTGCAGTTAATTGTGTAAGAAAGGTGGACAGTCAAAATGCCATCGACTCTGTGTAATGTGAAATTTCTAGTAGCCGTTTATTGATGTTTTATGTTAAAATATATTTGGAAACACTATAATTCTACATAGTTTTTTTTTTGTATATATAGTATATGTTTTTTTAAGTTTAGACAAAAAAACACTTGTACTTGTTTTACTGGCATAGTTTTGGGAGTATATTGCTAGACTTAATGTACAAATTAGATTATTGTTAACTGTAAAAACTGAGTAACTAATGTATTTTTAAAGAACTGCGGTCGACTTTAATACATGTACAAAGCTGATGTCACATCTTGCAACATAAATATAGAAATATTGTTTTTATTATAGATATTTATATTTCTTTTTGAAAATGAAAGTTTATGGAATAGTTTCCGTTACTTAGGAGAATACTAGACTCTTAATGTGATACTTTAAGGTTATTACACCCCAATGAACTATCACATTTCTATAACACTCATATTACTAACAGAGATAATAATTATATGATAACACTAATAATAGTAATTATAAGAGAGTTAGATTTAATCCATGGCACAACAACTGACTCATGCCCGTAAAAGTGCAATTGCCATCTCGTTTTTATAAAATAATAAAATAAAACTGTATGTTTCGCAAAAAGTAAAGCCGAAATTGTTTTTTAAAGTTCAGTTTAAAAGAAAGCCTGTAAATTGTTTTACATATATGATAAAACGTGCGTAGGGAAATTAATTAGATTGTCCACATATTTCAACCTGTTTATGTTTTCAAAAAATTCCGATGAGTCTAAATTCGTCATTAAAAATACCTTACCTATTCCATTAAAGAGCTTTCTTTTAAACTGATTCTTTTTTGTATGACTTTTTGGCGAAACTGACTGTATGGTAACACCTATGGTTCAATTCTAAATTCAGGAATGTGTGTTGGAGACATATCCTAATTAATTGTGGGCAAAAGGGTTTTGCTCAAGAGAAATTTTTTGTGAACGTGCATTCGTACAACTGACCCGTGGAAAATGAAACAATTAAGACAAAAAAAATTCAAATTAGCAATTAATTGAAATTATTTTAAATTTGATGCTGCATGGTTTAGGTAATATATTTAGAAAATTAAACTAAAGACATTGCATAGATAGAGAAAAGATATATTATAAAATATGTAATATAAATATAAATATATATAATTTTTTGCATTACTTCGCTACCTGTAGTATGAAAAGTTATATGTGGCCAGAGTAAATGATTAATATGTGGGGTATTATATTCAAAACTAGATTTTCTATGATTGGTTTCTGTGTATCTATTTCATAATTTTTCCCCCTTCGTCTAATATTGTCCCGTGCATGTTTCAAATCCGTCATCCGTTGGTTTATTTGTTTTTTTAAACTATACCAAGATTTATTATTACATGTTTTATTTTTATTTTATAAATCAAAGTTTCGAATATAATCGAAAACGAGATGAATATTTACGTATCAATCGATAATATAAGCCATAGACAGCTTTCATTAACAATCGGGGAAATTTTACGCCAAATCATAGAATTAGTAATAGATGGCTGTTTAATTCTGGATCGTTCAACGTGTTGAAGATTATAACTGCATATAGGAGGGAATAATAAATATGCACGTAGGTGAACATTTTAATCGATCCGGAGTGCAACAGCGTTATTTTTAAAAGCAAAAGTTTCCTCAATAAAAAAATTAGAGTAGATTCTGTGTGTATTTGGTAATCTTAAGCTTAACTAGTAGTCTGTAATCCTACTATTACTCCAATATTGCTATTATATATAAGTATTTGTACATAAAGTCCTAAGGTTAAGTCATTGTCTCTTATTGGTGAAGCATACTATTCGAGCTTTTACTCCAAAATAATTGAAAATATGGTGCTTAATGGATTATTAATACAAAAACTAATGCATGTTATTGAATTTTTATTCTATTTTTTTTTTTTAATTTTTGCAAATATAATTATATAATACATGGTAAATTGTTTATGTTCTTTTCTAAACAAAGTACTCGCACTGTTGATCAGATTTCTGATACAATACCAAACGATTAGTTAGTTAATTTTGTTTAAAGAAACAGAGGAAACAGAAATTGCAACAGCCAATAGAAAGACCTGATCTCATGATTAACACAAAAGACTAAAGAAAGTATTATAGTCTATGCGATTTTTACTCCCACATTATCCTAAAATTTACTTTCTCAATTTAAAAGAAAAAAATAAAAATAAACAAAAGCACAAAATTATGTATACACGCCAAAAAATACGAAAGCAATTAATATAAATAATATAAACGTTGATAAGCTATCCAATTTAAATCTGGGTACCAAAAAGCTGGTACAGAGGACCAAAATTCATTCATAGCTTAAATTTAATTTAACTGGGTTAGATTTTTTACACGTTTCGTTTGGCTGCGCTGCGGGTTGCTCAACGTTTTCTACTGGAAGACTGCTGGAATTTAGAAGAAAACATATTTAAAATAACCACAGCCAAATTTGGGTCATTGTAATTAAAGTGTTGGGCGGAAATGTCAAACCAGCTGGAAATTTTTTATTTTTTATTATAATTTAGTGCTTCTGCGATCCTGGCAAAGTGAAGCCGTTTTGTTTTATTTTATTATTCTTTTTTGAGAATGCGGTGTCATTTGTTTAAAATTAAGATCTAGAATTTATGGTAAAAATGGAAAAGCAAGGTTTCAAAAAAGGCCTAAATATAAACATGATTATTTTATTTAAATTTAAATATATATTTTGTATAGTTTGTTTCTTATATATAATGTATTTTTTTATAAAAGGATAAAGTTGTATTTTACAAAAAAGAAAATTGGATAATTTTTCAATGAGTTGAATAAGATACTTTAAAAATTGACATTATATAACATTTTTTGTGATGAACGTTTCGAAAAGGTATACACGAATGGTAAAGAGGACTGAAACTATTGACACTTTTGAAAGTTTGTACTCTTCTGCGTTTCTTTTATTATTTTGCTTTTTTTTTTATATTGCACGTTTTTCAAAATTTCAATGACCACGTCATGGTTCGGATTAATTCGGTTTATTTCAGGGTCTAATCGATTACTAGCCAAAATATGCATTGCCACAAGGCAATTTATAATGCCAAAAAATTTATCCGTCGAGGCAAAAAATTATAAAAATTAATGTGTTTCGGCTAAAATTGGAAAAAAATATATACAAAAACTGTTACGAGACTTTTTTGTACTTTTATACAATTTTATATTTTTTACCTAAATTTAAGAAAGGGGGGAGATTTTTTTAATAATAACTTACCTTATATTAATGTTACATTTGTATAAAAAAAAAGTAGTTTTATAAAATTTATTTTTATTTCTGCTGTTCGATAATAATATTATTTTTGTATTCACAGATTTATTTCAATTTATATCGTATTTGCCACCCCTATTATGTTATTTAGATTCGTCGGTATAAAAATAGTTTTACTAATTAGCGCATACTTATAAAACAATAAGATACTTAGTCTGCACAATTAATACATAAATCGTAATAGCATATTAACTTCTTTGAGTAATAATTGTTGTTGTAGAATTAGTGCATGCCAGTAGACATTTTCGTTATTTTAAGCACTTCATTTCATGCCCCTGGATGATTGGACGAATGAATGGTTACGAATATTTTGGAGAGGTCACTACAAGTACAAACCATCCATTAAAGTAATATATTTGTTTGTTGAATTTACATAACATAATCAGCTTGTTTACACGTTAGGAAATTGAAAAATAAATAAAAAAAACTATATAGTATATTTATAAGCAATCAAATTGTTGTTTTGTCTCTGAATATGTACAATATCATTAGTGTTACAGACATTGAAATTATTTATCGGTAGGTGTCGAGTTATATGCCCCCTAGGTGTAACGTAGGGCCTACCTCATTGAATGCAAACCGACGGTACAAATGAAAATATGACTTAAAATAAAATTTCATACAATTGTCTCAGTTCCCAACTACCTCTGATTTGTTGAAACTAAAAATTTACAAAAATCTGAAACTAAAAAAGTAAATCGATCTACCTCAATTCAAAGTACATACGCAGCTCGTATTTAAGGAAAAAACGTGCCCTGACTTGAAACTTGGACTGTCCATAAAATAAAGCAATACTTCTATCGGGTACTGGAACATTTCTTCTCAATAAGTAAAATTGAAGAAATAGATCGTTTTTATATCGGTAAAATGCGTTGTTTATTGCTTTTCGAAACTACAATGTGCTAAATGTCGTTTGCCTAATTAATTTAGTTACATATTGCTCATATCTTCATCAGGGGAGTAACTAGTGTCTAGACAATTGTTATTGTATAATTTTAATTTTTGGTCAGAATTAATTCAAATGTCTGCCAAACACAATACTTAAATTTGCCTTTTGTCAGTACAAATTCTCAACAACTAACTATATAGTAGCTCACTGTTTATATTTTATGTCCCCTTCTCTGATAGGGATTGTGTTTGACACGTAAAATGTTGCGTTTGTCTATAGTTATAACAAACATAAACCCAAATTTTATTGTTTAATATCGTCATTTACGTTATTAAATATATTTTTTCGTTCACATTTCTCACTGAGACAGACTTGTCAAACCTTTAATCCATACTTTTATGATTTATTTTTAAAAAACTTTTAATGCTTTGTAAATGTTTTATATTTCTTATGTGTAAAAACATGTTTATCCCTACCTCTGTATGCTCTAATAGTACAAATGTATGTAAGCAGAATGATATATTGTTTAATTGTTAAATTAGGAAACAAATTTATAATATTATTAAAAGGATATATTATATACTTTGTTGGATCTCCCAAATTGTCAATCTCAATTCGTAAATTGTATTAAGATTTCGAGGGCTGATGGAATCAGAGAAGAATGAACGCATCGTGACGTATCCTAAGTACTGAATGTAATTGACTTTTTGAAAAGAAAAAAAAAGTTAAATGGAAGCACGTTAGCTCTTTAAAATATTTCCCACAGATTAAATTAAACACTGTTCACACATACCTCACCAAATTATATTAATCAGTCATATTTCAGAGAGCTTATGAAGGTTTGCAAAAAAAAAAAGAAAAAAGAAAGAGGATAGTGCAGTGGTCAAGGCTGAGCGTATTGTGTAAATTTGTGCCTCGAGATCATGCTCTATCACTGCCCTTCTAGTGCCATTTGACGTTATAATAAATATAATCTTAATGCTTTCTGCTTCATGAAACAATTTCTAATTTCTGTGTATAGGAACATTAAAAATTTAGTTTTATTTGTTTTTTTATATGTAACTTTTTTTTATTTGCTTCATGTTAGATAGCCACAAAAAAATTATTATAAAACATATCTGATGGTGTAACCATTTATGTTGAATTATTTAGTAAATTGTAAAGTACTGTTAGTTAATTTCTTTTTTGAAAGTAAGTGTGAAAGTGTGAAAACAGGCAATTTCGACTTCTCCTGACATTACCTATGTACTTTTCTTGTTTAAAATCATATAAAATATTGTTTGTATAGTTCGTACTAAATCAAATACCAAAAATTTTTGTTAATTATATTTAAAATGTATTTTCAGGGAGCTTGGTTTCGTTTTGTGCTCTAATCCTGAATTAAATAATGATTTCTTTGGGTCTACAATATTTGTGATACAAACCAAGTCATTAACGCCCGCAGATTTTTTCCTTTGATTCCACTTCAGACGTTAGTTATGAATCTATTTTTATCTTCTTTTTTTTGGTTATTAATATCCTTGAAGGAAAATTATTTTATTTAATTGTGATATGTAGTTTTTAAAATAGTGATTGCTTTGAGTATTTAAAAGGTAAAATGAAAAAATCTGTGTGCTTACAGTACTTGAAAAGTACTTTTAAAATTAAAAACCATCGATTGAAAAGACCCTTAAACATTAGTTGAAGATTCACATATTTTTAATGATTTGTGATTCGTTTGATTTTTAATTAGTTAATTTCTTTATAAATCGTTCTTAGATTTGTTTTATCTAGTGGAATTATTATAGTTGAATTAATTTTTGTTAATAGAGTTTTGCCTGTGTGCATGTGGCTATAGTTTATTATTTCATACAAATGAACCCAATATGATGTTCCAAGGAAAATGATGGTTTTCTGAAAGCATACAAAATACAAATATATTATATGAATATATCAGAATATAACTATTATGCATAATACATGTACTTCATTCTAAACAATAAATTGTTTAGTTGTGTTTATGTAAGAAGACCATAAGTTAGTAGGGGCTTCTTTTCTATGTAGTAATATGAACAAAAAAATAATGAAAGGATAATAAATTTATAACTGCATCCTAATATTTATTTCTTTTGCCTGTTTTATATTCTCCCCCGAAAAAAAAAAATTAAAAATGTACTGCAGTGCACATCTCCAAGGAACGGTAAGTACTTTTATGTGATCAAAGATGATGAACCCGATCTCTACCCCTTTATGTTTTTGTGTTATATAATTACATAATACAATGAGCATTGCCAAACCATCTACTCTTTTACAGTTGACAAGAGATCCTGGCTTGGCACATTTGCGAGCTTCATTTATTTTAATATAGAAATTTTATTGACCATTTATAAGACCAAAAAGGCTGACCATGTTGAACAATCGATATTCTGAGATTTCGACATGTAGTATCGCCACCTTCATTGTAGGTAATTTTATTAGTGATAATAATACGTTATACTTGATAATAATAATTTAAATAACAACAATAAATATTTGAAAAATAAATAATAACTCGGTTTAACTGTCTTAATATAGACCGGGAACTGACCATGGTGAACCCACGAGTAAAAAAAATAAGTACAAATAAAAATTAACATTCAAGATGAAGACTGGAAAAGCTGTTAGAAATGTCAATTTTTACTTAATTTGGAGTTTTATTTTGTGAATGTCACATTAATTGGAGTTATAAGTTCCCCATTGGCAGCCGCTTTTAAATCATATAAGAAAGAGGTAATTATTCAGATATCGTGAGATGCGGTCTGGTGTGATGTAGGTTTCAGAAAAACATTTTCTTTATCGTGCCAACGTTTCGATCTTTATTGAGATCATCTTCAGGGCCTGGGATTTACAAACATTGTTTACATTTAACAAATACATTTAGGAAGTGGAAAAGTGAATTTATACATTCCAAAATATATTCTATATTCAATCAAAGTATTTCTACTCACTCAAAGTGTTTGTCTTCTGTGTAATTGTGCCATTCTTGCGTGTCGTGTTGACAGTGCCAGTGAGATTTTGCTGTTTCAAATTAGTCAATTATGCCAGACGGCATCTCACGATATCTGAATAATTATTGATTAACGGTGACTAATCTCTACACACTCATTTAAGAGGTCTGATCCATATTCTTTTCTGTCGGCCTCGGGGTTGTGGGACATGCAAATGTATTTGAATGTTAATGCGATCCTGCAAAACGCAATGAAAACGTTTAGAATAGGTTTTGATAGAGGATGACATGAACATCTTTGTGAAGTGTGTCTTTGTTATTGTTATATAAGAAGGGTCTGACGATGGTGGCTCTGCCTAGTATGCATAGTATGCAACGACTACATTAGCACGGTTACTGCGGTCCGTGACAGGTTTTCCGTCAACCTTCTCGTGCTTTTGTTGAAGAGATCCCACGAACTGGAAGA